AAAGAGGAAATTACAGTCAAATGTCCCTGTGCACGTAACTGCCATCTTCGCTAGCCCCATCTGCCAGAACTAACAATGCGCTCCTGCTGAGTTCAGTCTACTCGGGCAGGCATTCAAAGGAAAGCCAGGATGAGCCTTTTCCTGGAACTTCGGCAGTTTCAGAATATTTCAGCACCAGAAAATCTATGGTATCCATGCCAGGTTTTTCCACTGTACCTGTGACACCAACACGAGAATCCCTTGCTGGGAAAGGACTGCTGGCCGAAAGCTGCAAGGCAATCACACAACCCTATGCAAAATACATACGTTCCCCCTCAAGCGAGTTCCAGACTAGGGAACAAGGCTAAAACCATTAGTACACTGCACAACACTGAAGGAACCCCCTCCATGCCCTTTCTGGGAATACATTTGAACTCCTGTTCATATTGATCCCAAACCTTCCTTTCCAGTATTGCATCTCTCAAGGTGGCCTTGGGTTCAGTGTCTCCCCATGCAGCACGCACAACATACACCAAAAAGGGTTAAGTCACCTGAATTCCCTATCCCTGCTGACCAGCCATTGTCCTTTTGAAAAACAAGGGGCCAGTCAGTAGGGCCCATTCCTTGTCCAGATTTGCAAGGTTGGTTGACGTGCATCAATTTGCTCCAAAATATCAGAGTGCGTTTGCTATGAAACATTTCCTTTTGCTTAGGAAATCAGTATCCCATACCATAGTTGCCAATGAAACAGTACAACCCTTCTACATTATGGAAGCTACTCTGGCCTCTACCCACTCTCTGCACCTTCACACAAGACCTTGTTTTTCTCATGGCAAAGGGTAGCCTTTAATTCTCAGAATTCCTCTTCCTTTTCCAGGAAGGTTGACAGGTAAGTTAGGACTGCACCAAATGCAACCAGCTGGCATCAGTCATCTTACACAAACCTGTGTATCTATGGCCACAATCCTCCTCCAAATTCCTTGCATTTTTTTTCAGAGTATCCAAATCTTTAAGAAAGCAGTAGGCACTTTGTAGCTCATTCACGATTGCATAACATTTCCTTGGCAACAAGGCATTTTTGACACAAGACAGGTGGGTGTGATATCAATCTGGCTCCTCTTAAATGTGCTTTAGCAGATAGAAACAACAGCAGAAAAAAAAAAAAAACGTAGGGCCAGGTAATGCCAGCTGAAGTTAATAGTTTCTCATGGCTTAACGGACACTGGATCAGGCCCAAGCATCCAGGCCTGTTTGTCCCAAATGACCATGCAGGAACCCTTGATTTACTTGGGCACTTTGGTTCTCTTGGAGCAGCCTGCACAGATTCCAATAGTCATCTCCATGTGTTCTCCACATCTGTAGATGTTATAATGCTTAGCAGCTAGGACCTTCTTCTGGAAAGAGGACCCACAGAAGAGTTTCCAGATTAAATATCTCACAGTCACATCAGCTTTAAAAATTCAACTGAACCACAACTCCCTATAGGAGATTATAAGGAAACATAGTACAGATGTTTCAGGAAGCTTATTTCCAGGTGATGAGTTTCATCAGCACCCAAAAATCAGAGCTCGCCTTGCACCGACTCCATGTCAGGTCTCCGAGCAGGAGGAAATTTCATTTAGCAGTTAATCTTGGCAGCAGATTCCCAAAGGAGCAGGGAAGACTCCTCCCAAGCAGGCCACGAAATCCATGAGGTCACAGAGACACAGTCTCTGGGTACCTATGGGAGCATTTATGGATCTGCACGGAGCAGGATGGAGGAAATGACCAATACAAGATCTGCTGGAGTTGTTGTTCATGAGGAGCACATGACACAAGAAGAGGGCTGAGGGCTAACTTTTTTTATTAGGTTGAAGCTTTATTTTTAACTGTGATAGATAATAAGCATTCCTACTTAGATGTTATAATTAGAGCATTCTATAGTCACTCCTCCTCTGACGACCAACCATACCCAAATATCCGAGCAAACCAATTTCTACCTTTCGCTAACAACCTGGCCCCATCAGCACTGTCAAAGGCAGGTTCTGATCAGCACCACTGACACAACCACCCTTTTCTTCTTTATCTGCTCTTTTAGCTGCCAAGCTGTCACTACCAAGAGCAGCCTCCTCTCCATGTTCCTGTGACACCAACTCCCAAAAGTCTCTGTCCTGTGCATTGGCCAGGTCCTGAATTCATATTGCTTGAGAGCACACTGAGACTGCTGCCTGCTAAACGCACCGGGAAGCTGGCCCTCACCTCCTCCATCACCCTCTCCAGACATGCCAAGGGTCACGTCATTCCAGAAGGCCTAAAGGACCAGCACCAAAACAGGAAGAGCAGTGGGAACTCACCCGGGTCGACAGCTAGCTGCCATTATCTACCAGGCACAGGAGGGCACGGCAGGCCCGTCCCTTAGCCAAACACATGCCCCCAAGCACCTTGCACAAGCAACATCCAAGCCACTTCCCTGCCTCTGCTCAGGCTTGGGACAGCTCTCCGAGGCCCTCAGGACGTCTCTAACCTCTGGGCAGCAATAAACACGCTTAAATTCCTCTGGCAGGGTACACACGAGGCGCTGCTGACACGTGCTCGCCAATTTGGGATGGGGCACCCGGCGAGGTAGCACCGGGAGCTGCAGCGCGCCAGGGCCTCCAGGGACACACGCTTCCAGGCAGCTCTTCCTCCACAGAGCATGAAATAACAAACAACCCGGAGCCTTTGGCCATTGTTTGCCCGGGAAAGGGGGGTGGTGGGGCCGGGGCACGCGGCGGAGCCGGCCCTAGGCATGGCCAAGCTACGGAAGTCCTGCCCGGGCTTCGGCGTATCCGCTCCACTGCGGGGGGAGGCAGGAAGGAGAGAAAATAGCAAACAAATGAGCCCATAGCCCTTGAGAGAAACCTGTCTGCTCCAGGAGAGCGCGTTCAGCCCCGGAGCACAGCGCCTCTCACTAT